TTTCAGAATTACTACTTTCAGTGCTGACAAGGAATATTACATGAAGTCTCTTCCCCTCTCCTCCCCTGCCCTCCCCTCTCTCCAGAGGACACCAGGCTGGAGAAGCCTGAACCAAAGTGTTTGGTATCCCATCTTTCAGCTCAGAAAGGCTCCAGGAGAAGCCCACAACATGGTTTAAAAGAAGCAAAGTATTCTAGCAATAGCACTTTACAGGTCTGAAAAGGCTAGGCTCATAAAAAACCCAGCACTAACAAGACTCTTGTGCCCATCCTTGGGAGGGTGTTCCGAAGTCAGGGTCCCACAACCAAAAACAGAGAAGCAACCAGGCGGTAATTGCAACATTTAGTGAGGGGGACCAATGTGAATGATGCTCCTTAAAGCGTGGCAGGATAGCTTGGGCAAGGGTGGATGGGTGGGATGTGGGATGAGGCATTAGTTGCTTTTCAAGTTGCCTGAGTGACGGTCATTATGCAGAGACGCTTCATAGATAATTCAGACCCCAAGCCTTCTCTCAGGAGAAGGTGGAAAACATGACATTAGAACGAGAGCAGCTGAGGATGACTCTAGGGATTGTCCACCATGGCTGCATAAATGCAACTGTTCTTTTTATTGAGGGCATTGTAAAGTACCCACAGAGGTTTCCTTAATGGGATTTATTATGAGAAATGAAATATCTATAGAACTCAAAAGCTTTAGGAGTATTTATGATTGGTATCTTAGGTAAACAAATTAACAGAAGATAGGTGGAATGGTAGGTGCTGACTGTGATATATAAATGGGGTCTCATTCTTAGGTGTAGTAGAGGAGGAGGAGAACCTGTTGCCTCCATGCTGGTTCATAGAATAAGACAAAGGCTGCATCACAAGGAAATGTCTTCTGAAAACAGCTACTGGCATGCAAGGAGGGCATCCCAGTGCTTATTGTCTTGCACCCTGTCCTTCTCCCATGCCGGCCTCTGACATTTACCTTCGATCCATGAGCCATCCAAAAGTAAGATTGCCAGCGATGTCGATGACCCCAAGGACAGACATGAGAAAAGCCGCCCGTTGGTGGCTGACTCCGACGCTTAACGCGTAAGGCACTAGGTAAACAAAGAGTGGACTGCAGCCATAAGCCATGAATAAGATGGAGCCTGCAAACATCACAAAGTCTGGCATCAACGCAAAGTTGCACTCCTGTTGCGAGCAGCGGCACACACACTCGTGCGACCATATTTTGATCACAGAGGAGCAGAAGGACCACTGCTCGAAGCCTGGCTTTTGCACTTCCAGCTCAAAGTCTTGCTCAGGGAATTCCAGCGTATTCTTGTGGTCCTCTTTTCCTGCAACTGGCCTCATTAAGGCACCACAGACACAGAGGTTCAAAACAAAACCACCCAGGATGAGCAAGGCGCCGCGCCAGGAAAAGTGCTCAATGAGAAGCTGGACCACGGGAGCGAGGAGGAAGGTCCCAATGCCACAGCCTGACATGGCGATTCCATATGCCAGGGCTTTCCTCTTGTGAAAATAGTTGCCCACCATTGCTATGGCTGGGGAGTATTAAAGGGCAAACCCCAGTCCTGGGAAGAGAACATCACACACGTACACAAAAAAGCAGAAGGCAAATTAACAGCAGCAATCAGGAGGGGATGAGCAGTGAAACACTGCATGGATCTGCATGATGGGGAAGAGGGTGGGATACGGCCGGCAACCCACCTTTTGCGGACGCCATAACAATGACCTTAGCTTGAACCTGTGACTTGTACATACAGCAGAATGAAAAGCTCAACCGTGGTTGTGGGTACCCTGATTCATGGCACTTTCATGGGGTTTGTTTGTTTTC